CATTTATTTTGGGTGGAAGGGTCTATTATAGTACAGCTCTCCTTAATGCAGAGTGGACAATACTCTGTGATTTTCCTCATCCCCATCTTTGCTCCTTTCCTTTCAGTATAATTACCTATGTGGTGCCAAAGCAACCAATCAACCAACTAACTAAGCCTCCCTTATTACCCCCCAAATACTGCCTCCCCTTAGAGGACCCTCCGGTGTCCTTAGTCCAGTAACATGACATCATGGGTCCTCTTTTTCTGCTCTTAGGGGTGGACAGATCCTAAATGCTTCTAAAAGTAGCGTATCATAAGGACATAGGGGTCTATTCACGAAGCTGCCGAGGGCAGCCGAGTGAATAACCGATCTGAAGTGAATTGAGCCGAACACTGTTCGGCTATTCACTTCAGGCTGGTACGGCTAATTTCAGCCGTACATCGGCTGAAATCAGCCGTACATCGGCTTGCTTCGTGTGGCTTCGGGTCGGCCGAACATGCTCAGCATGTTCGGCCGACCCAAAGTGCAGAAGGAGTTCGACTCAGCCGATCCAACATCTGGATCGGCTGAGCCGAACCTCCGGCAGGCTACTCACTGCTGTTCGGGCTATTCTTAAAAGCACCCCTTCGGTTCTACTGAACCGAAGGGGTCCTGGAGCCGAAGCTAGCCGAAGGATCGGCCGAAGCCACGGCCAGATCCTTCGGCAGCTTCGTGAATAGACCCCATAGTGCAGCTCTCTGCAGCATTCTCCTGTGGGTCCAGGGTAACTTGATGATGCACCCCCAAGGGGAAGAACAATGAAGAGTTCACTGGCACTCCAGAAATCCTAAATGTCAAATTCTCTTTATTGGTATGACCGGATAGGTTTCACAGTGCATAGCAAGGTATTGGAATCCAATCTGGGTCCTTCCTCAGGCAAACATTGTGAAAATCTTTGCCTGAGGAAGAAACCAGATAGGGTTCCAAAACGTTGCTATACACTGTGAAACCTATCCGGTCATGCCAATAAAGAGAATTTGACATTTAGGATTTTTGGAGTGCCAGTGAACTCTTCATTGCTTTATGGATTGATCTGCGGCACCACCCGCATATGCTGTTGCAGTGGCGTAACGAAGGGGGTGCGGCGTGCACCCAGATGACAGCATTGGAGGGGTGAAACCAAAATCACTGACAGTCGCTTTGGTTTCACCCCCTCTGAAAAGTCGGGCACTCGGTCCATGACCGAGTGCCCGACAACTGCAGGAGATATAGGAGGGGACCCAGTGGCATACCTTATCCCGCCGGGTAAACATTCCCTCCTCTCTCTGCCGGCATCCATCACCAAGATAGCTGATCTTGGGAGGCCCCTGTGCTGTTGCACCTACCCAAAACGTTGGGGTCATTATACCGATCAGAAGTGCGATGGGACAAGGACTTCCTTTACCCCAAAGGGGAAGAGGACTCGGTGTCAGGAAGTGGAAGGGCTCAGCATCATTCAACCCAGAAAAGTAGTACCATCTAGTTGCTGAGAGAACTTTCTAAAGTGGACAATGCCAGAGATATAGTGAGAGTTGCAGCAAAAGTTACTTTTTCGATTTCAACTTTATCTGGGGATTTTATATTTCATTAAGCTGGTTTATTTTATTAAGTTAAGATGGACTGTAAAGTGTACTTCTAGTTCTGTTTTTTCTTTTTTTTGTAACATAGAAAGCTCATAGCTGTAGAGGTGAAGGGCGATGTAACCAACCTGGCTCAAGTGCACTAAAAACTCATCTCTTAAAGGAGAACTATGAGGTGAGTGCTTTTCACTCACCTACCCGCTCCCATCCACCGGTGCTGACTGGCGAAACGGACGGGGGAGGGGGTGGGTACAGCTGGCTCTGCCTCTAGATAGGCAGAGCCAGCTGTCAATCACGCAGCTGGGCGGATCCAGACATAATTGTCGGGATCCGCTTCAGCTGCGGCGTCTCAGTATACCGCGAGGAGTAGCTTGTGGTATACTGTGGCATCTCAGTATACCGCGAGGAGTAGCTCACGGTATACTGAGTTTAGGGTGACGGGAGGACGCTAGTTTGTGTCCTCCCGTTACCCTAAGGAGAACTATGGGGAAAAGCCTTAACCACATAGTTCTCCTTTAATGTCCCAAATTTCCAGTACTTGTTCACTCTTTGAATTAAAGTAGTCACCCCTACACCAATTCAAATGTGCACCAATTCCTGAAACATGTCTGCAGCAGGGAAATGCAAGATTCAGAATACTCTATCTAGCAGCTGGAGGTCCAGAGCTGAGCATAAATTACTGTGTTATACTTTCAACTGAAGCTGACCATACATTGAATGCAGTGGCGGACCTAGAGAACAAAGGGCCCTAGTGCAAGATTTATTTTCGGGCCCCCCACACCCCCCCAGAAAAAAAACACAAACCCCATAAACCACACCCCCTGTAGCAACCACAAAACAAAGTTGGAAAAATAGCATTGCTGTATAAAGTACTGCTGAGATTTGTAGTCCTCTATAGAGGGTGCCTCATGGACGATGTCCAGGGCTGCCCCGTGAAGTGCCTGCCAGCTTTTTTATTCTCGGCTCCCTCCTCAGTATCTGGTGGCCGCCGGGCCCCCTCATCTCTGTGCCGGGAGTGTTGGATCATTCTAACTCCCGGCGCAGAGATGAGGGGGCATGCCGGCTGCCGGATGCCAGTGTGATCATCGGACACTCCCGGCGCAGAGATGGGTGGGCCCGCCGGATACCAATCTGATGGTATCCGGCCGGCTCCCCCATCTCTGCCCCGGGGCTGTGTTAGATTAGATACTGGGCCCCCCTTTAGGCTCAGGCCCCGGTGCAGCCGCACCGGCGGTAGGTCCGCCCCTGATTGAATGAATTGTTGTTGAACTGGACAATATTTGCTCTGTAGGTGACCCTGTCAGCAGCCTCTTGCCCGACATCCTTCAATTTGAATTAACTGAATTAGCTGGTTGGTAAATTCTCAACCTGAATGGTGACAGCAGCCAGTCATTTGCAGTCACTGTTTATGTATTCTGACACACACCCACTATCAGAGTACAATAGTTGCAGGAGGAGATTTGTCCATCTATGCTGTTCAGCACATAGGCTGAATGGAAAAAAAATCAGTGTATGAGTAATCAGTGTAACAGTGTATGGCTTTACTAGAGCTTTTTTTCCTGTGCGGTTGCACTTCTGCTTTAAGTAAATTAAAAAGAACTACTTCGTCCATACAAAAAGTGAATCAGATGCAATTATTTTTCCTTGAATATTTAATGAAATGTTGTTACCCTTGTAAACAGTACTCACATATTTACAATATATTTACAACAGCACATCCCATTGGTAACTTACAGAGTCTTACAGACCACCTGCCACTTGTACACTTGCTTCATTTTACAGATTCCCTGGGTCAAGTGATATTCCAAGCTCCATCACCTGACCCAGCACATAGACAAAGCTCACAAAGTCTCTGGAAGCATCGTGGGTGTTTCATATCATTAGATAGTGCAGAGAGTCTATTGTTTCCAGTCAGAATCTGTTTGGCAGTCTTGCATTGAGATAAAAGGATCAGCAAGGCAGAACTAGAAGGAGACCCTGCACATGTGATAGGCAAATATCACTGCCCCATTCAAATAAATAACAAACTATACATAAAAACAGTGTTTTGATACCATGCACCTATTAAGATGCATTTGAACTGCAGGCAAAGCAGGCACAATGTTTGCAGTGTGCCTGCTGCCCCCTTTCTGGCCAGAGCGCCCGAGGTTGCTAAGAGCTGGGCAAGGAGATGCAGAGCCCTTACACATCTCTCTGCCAGGCTCTTAGCAGCATCACTCTCCCCAGCACATCCTCCCCACCCCCCAATTGCATGCACCCCTGGCAAACCCCCATCCTCTGTTGCTTCAGGCGGCAAAAAGGCTAGGACCAACCCTTCCAATAATCCTGCATTGTACATGTGGGCAGAAGGTCTGCCCAAAATGCCCTCAAAGAGAGGGGGAGCGTGTTGGAATCCTGCCAGAGCAAAGAATGGGGAAAGTTCTGGCTCTTATTCCTCTACCCCTAGAACCTTGGTTCTCAACTGGTGGGTTGCGACCCTGTGTTCAGTGGGTCTCCGCATGCCTTCCACTTTTGTATCTGAGAGGCTCCTCAGCCTCCCCCTAGTGCAGCACTGTCAATTCTCGTGCCATGCAGCCATTCAAAGTATTCTTTGCAAAGTATTCGGCGCTGAGTGTCAGCTTGAGGTGGGATGAGATGGGGCTATGGCCACGAGGGAGCTTCATCCATAAGTGCATTGCTTACAGCTCCCTCGCGTGTCCTATAGAGGTGCCTGGACCGGAGTGACATCACATTCTGGCTCCCAGCAAGGGAGCTCTACAAGAAATGCACAGGACCCCAGGCTGCCGATCCACTCCAGTTCTCGTAAGGTAGGGAGACTGTGTGGATCTTAAAAAAAATTAAGAAAAATTTTAATATTTTTAGAGTGTGTATGAGTGTGTGATTTTGTCTGGCTGTGTATGTCAGTGTTTTTGAACGGCCGTTCACACTAGTACAGTAGTTTAATCACACAGTACAGTGCGATTAATGCACTGTACCATGCAATCGCACCTAACGTGCGTTCTGGTGGGGGAGGTGTGTCTCATTGCTATTCATTTGAATGGTACCCCAAACCCACCTCCAACCCCCAGTTTGTACGCCTGCACCGGAATGCGCGGTACCCTAATGCCGTGCGTTCCATTGGAGTGTGACTTGGGTCGTGACCTAATGACCAAGGACAAATGTGGGTCTTGAGGTTACACAGGCTGAGAAACACTGCCCTAGAACATCCCAGAGTTCAGCTTTCCCAATGCCTGTGACTGCACCTATATGTCACAGAGACGTCAACCTGGTTCAAATTGTTACCCATATATACTGTAAATGTAAAGTACGTTGTAACCAAGCTATACTACAAGGTGACATGTCAGCCTTGGCCCCATTAAGGAAAAGATCTCTTGTCAAAGATAACAGTAACTGTGGATTTTAACATAGAACACAGTACAGAATTTCTTTTCTAGATGCTGGACTCTTGGGTCTGGTCCTGTATCAGTTGTTTTGTTGACCTTTGAAATAAAGATGCTTTTTCCCAGAATTCTTTGGCCACAAAGTAATAGCAGACACTGTCCAAGCAGCAGTTTAGATTACTCAGGCCATGAGTAAAATGAGCAAAGTCGTTTACAATTCTTAACAATGAGCATTCCAGTTTCATGGATTCCATTATATACCGTATGATATTTCCACAGCCAAAAGGCAAAAAACAAAGCAAGAAAATGACCATATTTGTGGTTACAATGCTGATGGTTTTCTTAATGTCTTTCTCTTCTTGAACGTTAACTTTCTCCTTCCTCTTCAGGGTGAGGATAATTTGCATTGAACAGAAAACTAATATTATCATCGGAACACAAAAACCCAGAACAGAAAGGTACAATGTTCTCTTTAAGGGTTTGGTGTTGACTTTTCTGAAGCAAAAGGAAGGATCTCTGACGCTCGTGTTTGCAAAAAGGTCAAGGTAGAGGCGTACAGCAAGGAAGAGGAGCCAGACCATCACACAAGCCATGGCTGCCTTCTTGGAAGAACGAAAAGATCTTGCTCTAAGAGGAAACTTTATGGCCACATATCTGTCCACAGATATCAGTGTGATGGTAAAAATGCCTATATATATGTTCATATAATAAAATGACTGGAGTGCATTGCAGAAATCTTCCCCCAGATTCCATGCGTTCTGGATGCTGTAGATGCGAAAGGGCAGTGTAAAAAGCAGACAGCAGTCACTAAGAAGGAGGCTCATCATGAAGACTCTTGTCTCTGTCCACTTTTTCATCTTAAAGCAGAAAACCCAGACGGCCAAGGAGTTAAATACCATGCCGAAAACCATCACCAGTATGTTAAGGGTCAACAAGAAAACGTCCAAACCTATGTTTTTTGACCTCATGATGTCTGTGCAGTTTGTATTGCTGTCATTTGCTACAATAAAACAAAACAAAACATGGTATAAGTAAGACATTGCCTTAACCTGCAAGTGGATCTTTTTAATTACTTTGCACTATGTGAAGAACTAATAGTGACATTCCATCACCTCACTTGCAGTTTATTGAGTTCAATTGGCTGCAAAAGGGTCATCTGTTATGAGGTTGCTTTCTGGCTACTAGACAATAAAAAAATTGTATCTAATTTAGACATAAAGCTGAACTCCAAAGTAAAAATGCACCAGTTAATGCAGTTATATACTCATTAAAATCATTGAATTAAATGCATTAATATGCAAATTACTTAATAGTTTGAACACCAAAATCTGACTTGGCATCAGTTTCTTGTAATCCTGGGAAACAAAAGAACTTAAGCTGGCCATACAGTTTACAACCATTGCACGACTTTCGGCTTGCGATGGTTGTAAGGTAATTAAAAGCTTGTACGATCTGCCCATTTTGGACAGGCAGATCGTACTTGCGATCATCACAAGTCCGCTCCGCTGAGTGGAGGGCTTCCAATGACTGCAATGCTGAGCTGGCAGTGTGCGCTTGCGCACACCGGCCCGTGCGGCATTTGTCTTACGAGCACGCCACAAACCCGCCGAAAATCGTACGATTTTCCAATGTGCTCGTAAGACAAAAGACATGCGACCGTACAGTAGAAACGGTTGAACGTCTTCCATACACCTGCCGATCGTACGATCGCGGGATTTCCCACGATTGTCGTACGATAATCGGCAGGTGTATGGCCACCTTAAGGCTGGGCACACACCTTACAACCATCGCAAGGCTTTTGTCTTGCAATGGTTGTAAGGTACTTAAAAAAACGTATGATCTGCCTATCTTGCATAGGCAGATCGTACTTGCGATGATCGCAAGCCGCGCCCCCTGAGGGGTGGGCTTCCGATCACCGCAATGAGGGACGATGCTCAGCGGATTTTCGAACATGTTCGTAAGTTTAAAGTCGTGCAACCTTACAGTAGTGAAGGTCGCACGGCTTCCACACACCTTACGATAATCGTACGATCGCGGGATTTCCCGCGATTATCGTACGATTATCGTAAGGTGTGTGGGGACCTTAACACTGGGAGGGCATCACTTGGAGACAATTAGGTTCTGCTGGTAGGGAACATGCTAACAGGTGGGAAGAGTTTATCAATCTGATGCTGCTCCTTCATTGTCTAGGCACAGCCTTACTGTTTTACCTACTAATAGATTTGCAATTTTGTCCAGACATTCTAGTGATACATCTCTGCAAGTCAGGAAGATCACTCTGCTACTTCCTGGTTTAGCTTTAGTATAGGGATAGGCAACCTTGGCACTCTAAATGTTTTGGAACTGTAAGTCCTATAAGTCATTGCAAGACACAGGCATGACTCCCAGAGGTAGATGCATGATTGGATTCGTAGTTTCACCACAGCTGGAGTGCCAAAGCTGCCTAACCCTTCTTTGGTATTTCCTGAATGAGCTCCCTTCTTATGGGCCAGAGGTGATATGTTGATCTACTACAGGTTGTAGGTGGAGCTAACAAAGGAAGCTGCATTGTTGAACCTGGAAATAAGTATGTCACCTGTTCATTGTGACAAAAGTGCGTAAAACACAAAATGACTCTAATTTACAAATCCTTTGTCCAATAAAAAATAAACATATATTTGTATGTTTAGGTGTTTAAAGAACTTCTGTGAAATATTTATCTGTAATATGGGATTCAGAGGCATTTAGCAACTAGTGATTCCAGAATGCTGCAAACAAATCATTCTTTGCAGAACTGCTAACAACTGTTTTACTTGCTCATCAGATACGTTAAGACTTAGTGAACTTTTATGAGACATTAGAGTAAATCTCATAAATCGACTCAGGAGGAATATCACTGGCTCACTCCCAGCAAGTTCACAGTACAGAAAGTAATTCTGTATTCTTCCAGCAGAGATGTGCTCGTCTTAATACTCTCCCTGGAAAAAGCAAAGGTGTTTGTCTTTCTGAAATGTGTTAGAAACTAAGAAGGACACCCAGTTCTGCTTGTAAAGGGTAAAAGTTAAAGTTGCTACAGGATTCACGAAACTAGAAGGCAAACATGAAAGGGCAAGGGTAAAACATAACATTACAGTAATAAATAACTTAGCAATAGAATTATAATACATACATTACAAAACTTTTATTGCAATTTGTCCTGTCCATGAAACCTTCAACGGTTAAGTAAACACCATATAACACTGACCACATTTTGGCAACTAGATACCAGAGACATGTGGCAAACAAAGTACCAAGGCTATCTGCCAAACCTGCCATACATCTGATGAAAAGGCAATTAGAATTAATGACCTTCTCATCAGGTGTTTTTGACCGTACCGGCAAGTACTCCACAAATAACAGGTTAACTCATTCGTTGATGGCCAACCTAGTGCATATAATCAGACAAAGAAGAACTGATGATTTGAAAGTGCTTTCAGATGTCTAGGGAGAGTTTTCCCCACTGTCCAGCTGGGGTATCATGCCTCTGGCTCACAAAATAGATTTGGAGGTGACTTTGCCTTATACATCATGCCGGAGATATTTAGTGCTATTTGGCTTCTAGATGACAGCACAACTCTGAGAGCACCCTCTGAAATTTTACTACTGGAAAACCTAGGTGGGGCTGCAAAGCCACAAAGACAGACATGCTAAAACTATTCCTTTCAACATGCCCTGAGACAGAGTGTAGAAAATGGAGATGGCACCATCATGGAGAGGGCCAACTAGCTCAGGGCTAAAGCCTCCACTGCAAGGAACAAAAGAAGCCTTACTTTATGGGAGAGGCAGCAATGAGCCTGCAGTTGGTGTTTTGGGAAAAGCTTTGTTACATCACAAGCAGAGGTTTTTTTGTTTTTTTTATTACTAGAGTCCTAATAAAAGGTAATGGAGTGGACTGGTGCACTATTGGATAGCCTGAATAAATTCTGTAACCATCCAAATGTTTGATTTTGAATAGAACCTATATTTAAAGTTATTGCAAACAGCAGGCTTCACAGGATTCCAGTAAACCTTTAGGGTTAGTTCACACCAGATCCAGTTGTGATGCAGTCCATTCAGTTTGGCTGTTGCAGCCAAAATACATACAGGTCTATTCACAAAACTGCCGTAGGCAGCCGAGTGAACAACCGACCCGAAGTGCAGTGAGCCAAACACTGTTCGGCTATTCACTTCAGGCTTGTACTGCTGATTTCAGCCGTACATCGGCTGAGATCAGCCGTACATCGGGTGGCTTCGAGTCGGGCAAACATGCTCAGCATGTTCGGCCGACCCGAAGTGCAGAAGGATTTTGACTCAGCCGATCCAACATCTTGATCGGCTGAGCCGAACTTCCGGCAGGCTACTCGCTGCTGTTTGGCCTATTCTCATAGATGCCGAACAGCAGTGAGTGAACAGCCGAATGCGCTGTGATATCACAGCGGCTCCTTCGGGTTCTGCTACATACTCACTGTCTTCTTATTACTCCCAGTTACACACTCACTATCTTATTATACTCTATTACACACTCATTGCCATCTTATTACTGTCTATTACACACTCACTGGCCTCTTACTACAGTCTGTTTCACCCTCACTGTCCTCTAATTATACACTATTACACAATGTTCCTATTTCGTTACACTTTCAGTGCACTCTTCCTCTCTGTAGCAGTCCATGACTTATACCAGACAATGGTGTAGCACTTCCTGTCAGTCATCCCCCTCTCCTCAGCCCTGCCTGTGTCTGTTATGGGGGATCCATTTCCAGCCCCCCCAGGGAGATCTGTGAAGAGCACAGATACTGTGACATGGAAAGATGTTCTTTGTTTTCCCGGTGAACCTGAGATTCCCCACTTCCTTCCAAAATAAACCCAGCACCTATCTCCGGGAAGAATGGAAGAAGCAGCTTGAATCCCTGCCTGGAAAACAACGTACATTCCTGTGTGCCTGAGGTGTAGATAAATACAAACTGGTAGTCTGCAATAACAAGACTCTTATAGGAATATTACAGCTCTGTACAGGAAACATCAACTCTGACAACTTCCACCACACTGATTATCCCAGAGAAGATGCAGTTACTACTGATGTACAGTCTATACGTACTGACCCTGAAATAACCTGAGATAGATAGAGAGATAGATGGGCATCCCTGGGTTCTCAGTGTACCGAGGAGCCGCTGTGTAATGTCAGAAGGCATCCCTGGTTACCAGGTAACCAGGGACGCCTTCTGTCATTACACACAGAACCCGGCGGAGCCGCTGTGATTTTACAGCGGCTCCAACGGTTTCTCAGTGTAATGATAGAACGGCGTCCCTGGTTACCTGGTAACCAGGGACGCTGATCTCTCTGCAAGTGGCCGGAGCCAGCCGTGAGATGACGTCTGGCTCCGCCCAGAAGCAGGCTGTCGGCCGGCTGATGGCCGGCTGTTCGGCCAGCTTCGAATTTCCCCTGGGCTCAGTCGTGCCGAAGCATATGTCCCTCGGCCAACTTCGGGGGCTTTACGGGCTATAGTGAATAGCCCGTACAGCAGCCCTTTGGTTCAGTAGAAGGTCCTGAGGTCCTGGTTTGTCAGGAGGTAGCCCAACCTCCTGAAGGCACAGGGACACACAAGGGACCCCGCACATCACAACGGCACCCCCCATGTGTCACTGCACCAAATCAGACAAACAAAACAATGAATGCGTTTGTTTTGCTTGTCTGATTTGGTTTGCTTTTTTTGCATGCTGGTTGATGAGTGTGCTGGGAAACAAACTTTTTGCTGTTGTACTGTTTAAAGCCCTTCCATGTGCGCCTTGTGTTAAAGCTGGTTATTAATATTGATTTTGATCGTATAGTAAAGAGACAAAAAAAATGCTTACCAGTGGTTGTGGAGACCCACCCAGAGGAGGTTACAGCCATGTTCCCAGGGACAGAAAAGATTCTATAAAACATGAATGCAAGACAAAATCATCTCAATGAATATAACGATACGACAGTAAGCAGGGCCCTCCTTATAATGAGGCAGCCAGTGGCGGTTGCCTTAGGCAGCATCTCATTGATTTACATGGTGGCCGCCCCCCTTTCTGGTTGCTCTTAGCAACCTGTGATGCTCTATCCGGTGTCCCGCCCAGCTCACTTACATCACTGGATGCCAGGTGCTCAGCAGGATGCTGTGATTGTCCAACATCCCAGCTCCTGACACAGTGATGTTAGTAAGCTGGGTGGGACGTCTGACAGAAGTACTGTGCAGCAACCTCCCCCCCCCGGGTAATGTGCCCCGCCAGCAATCACCAGTAGACAACCCTCACCCCCACCAACCCTGGCCTCAGGAGGTGAATATTGTAGGGTCGCCCCTAAAAGTAAGGGTCTGATTTACTGAGATTG